AGTCCCTAATAAGGCTTAAGCCAGTCCTGTATTACCAGAAGCTTCCAAAGTAGAGAGGCTTGCCAGCCCAGGATTAGAAACTTTCCACTCCAGCCATCTCTTGGTCTCTACTGTCTACCCCTCTCTAAAGCCCAGCAGGTTCAGCCCCTCAGAACTTGGGCGTACCAGGCCCAAGAAAGAAATGCAGGTCTGGGTCCAGAGTGGAACAGGGACACTTCTCACTGGGACTCAGGCCTACGGGAAGGAGGCAGGTGTCGGCAGGTGTCGTGGGGTGTCCCCCCACCCCCGCCGCGAGTTCTCTTGTTCCAGAGCATGGTGGCGCCTAGGTGCACATGGGTGTTACCGGGATGACACCCTCCAAAAACTCAAACCCTGGCTGGCTTTTGGCTGGAGATGTAACTGCACCAGGAACAGACACTCTGAACCAGACCTCTGCAGGGTTTCTGGGCTCACCCTTCCAACTAATTATCCCTTTCCAGTGAGGACCTAGGCTCACCTGCTAAGGACAGGCTCCTCACCTCACCACGAAGGCCCTGGCACTGCTGGGGGTGGGGGGGTCCTGCCTGTTCCAGCTTTCCCCCCCACGGTGGGGGAGGAAGAGAGTCAGCTGTACCAGACCCCCCTCCACAGACTAACCATCAGCAGAAACAGGGGTAAGGAAGAGAAGGGTCTCACTAGGCTGAGGAAGGGCGTGAATTAAAGGAAACTGCTTGGTCCAAGCAGAAGCCTTGAACCACTGGCCACCTAGATTTCCTGAGGCAACAGGACACAGAGGAGAGTGATGTGGAGGCCCAGAGAGGTAGGGTCACCAGGGAAACCAGGGCCCAGCAGGGTAGAGAAGGTAGTTCCCAGCCTAAAGTCTCAGGACATGGTGGGGCTGGCACCCCTGGGTCAGGCATCAAAGCAAATCAGACACTGGAAGGCAGGTCTGACTCAGGCCGCAGTTTTATTAATGCCTCAGGTTGAAGAAACCCACACTAGTGGGTGACTCCTTCACCCTGACAGTGATGAGATTCACGGTGACATCGGTGACAAAGACATGCTCGATGAGGCTGTGGGTATGTTTCCAGTCCTGGCTGGTTTGGACTGATACAGATAGATTCTGCCCAGCACTGGGGAGTGAGGATGAGTCTGGGTCCAAGTCGGAGCTACTGTTCTCCTGCCTATGCTCATCTCAGACAGTGCAGGTACCTTGCTGCCTTCTCCCAGGGCTGTGTGGCCCTCCTGCCTGCTGGGGGCAGCAATGCCCTTGACACTATCCCTCTTGCACGAAGGGGCCTTCTCGCCTTTGCTGGTGTCTGTGCGTATGCTGGTCCCACTCAGTCCTGTGGGGCCACCACCAGGGCCTTTCCCGGTGGCAGAGTTGGTGGCAGGGATGGCCTTGGTGGCCGTGGCATGGCGGGCCAGCAGGCCCATGCCAGGCATGCCATTCTTGATGCTCTGTAAGCCCAAGACTTGAAGGCTTAGCTCCTGAGTAGGGGTCACCTGGGAACTTGAGCCCTGGGCAGGGACCTTGTTCCCACTGTGGCTATGTTGGGGACCCCCTGAACTACTCCCTTTCTGCTCTGCAGCCCCATGCCAGGGGCCTTTGGGACTTTGCTTCCTGTGGGGCTCAGCCCCAGCTCCCCCTTCCGCGTCCTCACCTTCAGGTCCAGCCCCAGGCTACACTTATTGGTGGCCTGGGCCTTGAGCACCAGTCGGCTGGCAGCCTGGGCCTGACTCTGGCTCATGCCGTTCATGTAGTGCACGATGGAGCTCTGGCAGCTGATGCCACCGCGGCTGGGGCTCCGGGTCATGCCTTTCATCAGGCTGGCCAGGTTCTCTGGGGTTGCCATGGTGCTGGGGCCACTGCAGGCCTCCTTGGTGTGGGCTTTCAGGGCTGCCAAGCCCGCGACAGGTTCACTGAGTGGAGGAGGCAGCTTGCTGGCTGGGGTCCCCAGGTCCTTCCAGGTGGTCTTCAGCACCTTAACCAGGCTCACGGGTCTCCGAGCTGCCTTCTGTTCTGGGGGCAGCGGCTTGCGTCCTCCTTACTTGAGAATTGGGATCTTTCAGCTCTGGCTTGGCTACCAGGATCTGGGCTTTCTTCTGAGGATCGGGGTGGGTCTCACGGCCTCGGGGGCCCCTCTTAGAGTCCCGGTCACTGTCACCTTCTTCGTCTGAGGAAGGGGAGGAACTGCTGGATTTGGACTTGGAGGGAGCATCCGGTTCCTTGAGCTTGGAGCGCCGGCTGCAGAAAGACATCTTGGTGTGCTCTCTGGGCCTGCCCCTCCGCCGCCCTTCCTGCTCTGCACTTTCTTCTCCTGCTCCGAGTGCTGTGAACATGCACATTTCTGGAAAGCTGGGACCAAGATGTTTTCCTCTGGCTCCCACCTGTTATGTTTGGAGGACCAGCTGCACCACTTGACCAGCTACTACAGCTTGCCCTTGCGGAGCCGCTTGCTCAAGATGCACTCGGTGGCGAAGACCTGCTTGCCCACGGCTGCTCAGCTCCTCATGCCGCCCGCCCGGTGCCCCGCAGCAACATTTTTGATTATTCTTATCTGAATAATTTTTATTTGAATGTTTGGAAAATTGTTATTTTTTAAGCTCCATTGTTCCTTACATATTTATTGTTATTTTATAAAGAATAGGTTTCCTTTTCTCCCATAAGTCTAGAATGAGTGTTTTTTTTTTAACCTTTTGGATGTCATTATAAAACGTAACTCCTTTACCCTGAGTACTTAAATATGTATTTTCCAAAAATAAAGATATTTTCCTTAAAAAAAAAAACAAAACAAAACACTAAGACACAAGTCATCAGAGGAGAGTTTTCCCAGGTTTACTAGTAAGTCCTTGGTTTCCATATGGTCATCCATGACTAAATGTCACTGATGAGCCTAATGGCTTGACTGTCAAGGGAATATCCACTTCCCTCATAGGCCCACAATCACTGTCTGTATCCTGACCTTGCCATAGAAATGAAAGGCAAGACTTATACAACATCCTTACTCCTCAGAACAGGGGCTGGTACAGGGATGTGTAACAGTTTGGATACTTTTTACAGTAGAATTCCACTTGGTACCATTTGAGTCTTCATTTGCTTACCCTCTCAAAGCAATGCAACTTAAAAGAAAAAATAGTATGTGGGGGTACTGAAGAGATGGCTCAGCAGTTAAGAGCACTGGCTGCTCTTGCAGAGGTCCCTGGTTCGATTCCCAGCACCCACATGGCAGCTAACAACTGTCCTAACTCCAGTTCCAGGGTATTCAATGCCCTCTTCTGACCTCCACAGGCCTTGTACCACATGGGCACACCTACCTACATGCAGGCAATACACTCATACACATAAAATAAAAATAATAAATAAAATTTAAAATGTGTGTGTGTGTGTGTGTGTGTATGCAGTTGCGTATGCACATGTGTGCATGTGGAAGCCAGTAGAAAACCTTGGTGTCATCCTCAGGAATGGTGTCTATCTCCTTTGAGACAGGATATTCTGCTGACCTGGAACTACCAATTAGGCTAGGCAGGCTAGCCAGTGATCCCTAGGGATTTGCCTCTTTCCACTTCCCTGGAGTTGGGATTATAAATACTGCCACTGCACCCGGCATATTCTGGGGATTAAATTTAGTTCTTTGAGTTGCAAGACAAGCACTTTATCAAACTGATACATCCTTCTAACCCTGTCATGCAACTTTTTTGAGCATCATTTTTTATTTTATTCTAAAATAAGAAATCAAGTATTTAAATAAGGGACAATTCCAAAATAAGAACAGGCCAGATGTGGTGGCGCACTCCTTTAATCCCAGCACTTGGGAGGCAGAGGCAAGTGGATCTTTGTGAGATGGAGGCCAGCTGGGTATACATAGTGATTTCCAGGCCAGCCAGAGTTACAGGGAGACTCAGTCTCAAACAAAACAGAAAA